CATGGCGCTGCACCTGAGACTTGCTCACCCCAAATTTTAATTGCTGCACCATTGGTGGCTGTACCTTCAGTTGCCTGTATGCAAAATTCTGGAATTGTCATCTGCACCTCTCTGTTTTCCAAACAGTCTCTCCTTTTAAGACACTCATTAAAATCTATGTCTAATATCTTCTTGAGTAGCTCAGTGTCAAATTTTATTTAGTAACTGTTCCTGTGAGTTTATAGATAAATGTATGTGATGATTTGGGAGAGATATGGGGGAGGCAATGGCCTAGTGGTATTAGCACTGGACTGTTAATCCTGAGACCCAGATAATGTTCTGGGGACCTGGGTTCGAATCCCGCCATGGCAGATGACGGAATTTGAGTTCAATAAATATCTGGAATTAAGAATCTAACGGTGACTGTGAATCCATTGTCAATTGTTGGAAAAACCCAACTGGTTCATGAATGTCCTTTAGGGAAGGAAGCTGCCATCCTTACCTGGTCTGGCTACATGCGACTCCAGATATGTGGCTTTGCTGAGCATTGCAATGTGGTTGACTCTTAACTTCCCTCTCGGGATGGGCAATAAATGTTTCCTAGCCAGCGATGCCTTCATCCTGTGAATGAATAAAGAAAAAATTACTGTTGAACCAGTTGAACACAGTCAGGTGATTTTAGAGGACTGTAATTCTTGTTCTTACCCCTCCAGCCTCTAATGAAAAATCAGGTCTGACAACAGGCCAGTATTCAAAGGAAGTTGTGTCCTGTTGGTTTCATCACTGTCTTTCTCTGTATTGGCTCACAGGTTCTTGCAAGTGTAGAAGATGCCATTCAGTCCATTGGGCCTATGCTGTCATTTGAGCATACTTTACAACTAGTCTTTCTGAGGATTATCACCTTGACCTGGTGGAGACTCTTCAGTGTCTGATGATCCATTGGGATCTCCTTGCTCCTGATAGGGCTATCCCAGGTGCAAGGTCATGGTGAGGTAGTGGACAAAATGCGATCCAAAAAGTCTTCAGCAGTAGAACAGTGAAAGGAGCACTCTAATACTCAACGCCAACAAAAACACAAGAAGGCTGAAGTGGCAAGGTGGTCCTGGTCATGATAGCTTGTTGCATCTTGTTAGAGCTGGGGTGTCTTTGGGCAAACATCTTTGACTGAATACCATTCTTCAGAATACCCTCTGCTCATTCCCAAATGTGGAAGGATCAAGAAAAGATGCTCTAAAAGTGGGCTGTCCTGCTTTCTCCTAGCTGGGGAAGCACATGACTACATAGATGGTGATTTTGTGGCATTAACCAAATGTCGCATCAAGGAGTCCTAGGGAAACTAGATTCACTGGGGTTCAGGGGGCAAACTCTCTGCTGGTCGGAGTTATAATTGACGCTTAGAAAGATGGTTGTGGTTGTTGGAGGTCAGTCAGGAGTTCCTCGGGGTAGTATCCTAGGCCCAACCACCTTCTGCTGCTTCATTAATGAGCTATCCCTCCAGCATATGTGTCTACAGCTTTGACCATCAGTGAGTGAGAGAGAAAGGTCAAAGAACTGGCATTTATGTTGCCCCTTTCCTGAGTACAGGACATCCTAAATCGCTCTGCAGCCAATTAAGTTCTTTTGATCTGCAGTCTCTGTTAACAGGTAAGAAACATTCATCGAATTGGAGCACAGCTAGGTCCTACAAACAATAATGTATTATTCAATACAGAAGATGTTGGAAATTCCTAGCCTCCCTGGCAGTACCCATGAAGAGCAAAACAAAATTCCCGTTCCGAGTTGAGCTGCCAACAGATCCTGCTCATCTAGCTTATGTACTAAATGTCTAAGCTGGGTTTTGAACCTGCAATGTTCTGAATCAGAGGGAAGTGCATTGCTGAGTGAGACACTGTATCTGAATGTACGCTTTAGAACTATACACATCTGCTTAGAATTTAGAACAGGCTATGGCAGGAAGTTGTGGAATCTGAACAAATTAACCTTCTGGAACTGAGCATTTATTCTGTTCTATTCGGGTCTGGAAAATGTGTGTTGCTAGTGAGAACAAGGGTCATTAACCAACTCTTCTAAGTAGGAGTTTAAGAATCGAGGTTCAACATTAATGTTTCTCCTTTGTACCATTGTCACCATATGGTCCCAGTTCTGTTAGAGTATAACCAGGCAGTTTACCTGGAGCTCCTTCACTATACCAGCTGAGGTGATGAAGGAGGCAGCTCACCAACACCTTCCCAAGACCACAAGCGGAACTGGGAAATTCAGCTTTGCCTGCATCTTCAGGTTAGAATTTTAAAAGAATTTTTGGGCGTCCTCAAACTTCTGATTTGCTGATGCATTGTTGTTTTGCTGCAGGAGGTCAGGCTGTTATTTGGGTGAATTCACTTTTAGAACGACTGTCAGGCCTGAGGGAATAAAGATCTCCCTTTATCACTGAGATCTCCCATTTCCACCTCAGTTTGTGTGTTGCGGAAACATTTGTTTATGCCTTCATTACCTCCAGACTGGATTATTTCAACGCACTCCTGACTGCTCTCCCACATTCTACCCTTTCTTAACCTGAAGTAAAGAAAGCTGAATTGCTGTGGTCTTAACATACACCAAATTCCATTCACCTATCTACCCTATGTTATGTGATCTATAAGCAGCACCTCTTTTAATATTCTCATTCTTTTGAAATCTCTCTACAGCACTGTCCCTGACGATTGCAATCCTCCCAACTTACTTCCCTGAAATCTCCTCTTATTCTGGCATCTCAAACGTCACTAATTTTAACAGCTTCACCACAGGTGATCCTACCTACAGCTGTCAGAGTCCTAAGCTTTGGAACTGCTTCAGGAAACCTTCCATCTCTCTACAATGTTTTTCTCTTTTGTGCAACGTCCTTTAAAATCTTCTTTGACTGAGCTTCTTTGATCATCTGACCTAATATCTAATAATAATTGTATTGGCAAACTGCCAAAGTAACTTATTCAGAAAGGAAATCAAAAAACAGTAACTATAGGCCAGTGACTTTACCAACTGTCATTAAGAATGTGTTGGAGGACATTAGGAGTGATGTAGAGCGTTTACAAATGCATGATCTGATCAAGCATAGTTAATGTGGCTTCATGAAAGGGCATTCATGCCAGACAGATTTATTATCATTGTTTCTTGGGGTAACAACCAGCATTGATAAAGGGGAGCCAATAGATGTGAAATGTTTGGATTTCCAAAAGGTCATAGAGCTGTACAGCATGGTCCAACCTGTCTATGCCAATCAGATACTCTAAATAAATCCAGCCTCATCTGGTCTATATCCCTCTAAACCCTTCCTATTCATATACCTATCCAGATGTTTTTTAAATGTTGTAATTGTACCAGCCTCCAATACTTCCTCTGGCAGCTCATTCCATATGCGCACCACCCTCTATGTGAAAAAATTGCCCCTTAGGTCCCTTTTAAATCTTTCCTCTCTCACCTTAAACCTGTGCCCTCTAGTTTTGGACTCCCCCACCCTGTGAAAAAGACCTTGCCCCTCATGACCTTGTATTGCTCTATTACCTCAGCCTCCGATGCTCCAGGGAAAATAGCCCCAGCCTATTCAACCTCTCCCTATAGCTCAAGCCCTCCACCCCTGGCAGCATCCTTGTAAATCTTTTCTGAATACTTTCAAATTTAGCAACATCCTTCCTATAACAGGGAGACCAGAACTGAACATGCAGTATTCCAAAAGTGGCCTCCTCAATAACCTGTACAACCACAACATGACCTCCCAACTCTTATACTCAATGCACTGACCAGTAAAGGCAGGCTTTATACAGCAGATAAGCGCTACTGTGTTTTATCGTTTGATGGGATGGAGGCATCTCTGCCTGGACCAGCATTTATTGTCCATCCCTAACTGTGCTTAAAATGAATGGCTTAGACCATTTCAGAGGGCAGTTAAGAATCCACCAAATCGCTTTGGGTCCAGAATCACATGTGACCCAGGCAGGGTAACGACAGTGGATTTCTTTTTCCCTAAAGGGCAATAGTGAATGAATTAGGTAATGGTTACATGGTCACAATTGGGTTAGGTTTTTATTCCAGACTTCTGTTGAATTAAATTTCACCATCTGCCACATGGGATTCAAACCCATGTTACTAGAACATACATCAGTCACAAAAAGCTAGCATCCAAGTTCACCAGGCAGTAGGGAAGGCAAATGGAATGTTGGCCTTTATTTCAAGGGGAATGGAGTATACAAATAGGGAGGTCTTGCTAAATCTACAAAAAATCTACAAATCACTATTTAGATCGCAACTGGAATTCTGAGAGCTGTTTTGGTCCCTTATCGAGGAAAAGATATACTGGCATCAGAGAAGGTTCACTTGGCTTTTGAGAAGATGTTGAATATTATGGTTGGTTGGCTCGCCGAGCTGATTCATTGTTTTCCCACAGACGTTTCATTACCCTGCTGGGTAACATCATCAGTGCAGCTTCTGATGAAGCGCTGTTGTGTTTTCCGCCTGTTATTTAAACTCTGGAGCCCGTTGAGCTAGATTACCTCATTTCCGGTTTTCCTTCGCAGTGGAGTGTATGTGGTGTCGAGCTCTGTGTGTTTGTTGATGACTTTCTTCATGGAGTACCAGGCTTCCAGGAATTCCCATACTTGTCTCTGCTTGTCCCAGGATCTTGGTGTTGTCCCAGTCGAATTGGTGGTTCTGCTTATCCACATGGATAATAGGGAGATTTTTAATCAGTAAGGAAATCGGTGGCGGGGTTATGGGGGAAAGGCAGGGATGTGGAGTTGAGGATTATCAGATCAGCCGCAGCCTCGCTGAATGGTGGCGCAGAATTGATAGGCCGAATGGCCTATTTCTCTTGTAGCTTATGGTTTCATGTTTCTCATTATGATATTTTGTTTGAAAATGCTGTGGTGTATCACCTTGAACTGTTTGAATCTGGTAAAGCTGCTGTGTAAATATCAGTCATCATTTGATGATGTGCTGGGAATTGGTGCTTCTGGTCTTCAGCCCTCCTTTTATGTTTTGTTTTAAAACAGAACGAGGAAGGACATGTCCATCTTTCTCGTCCCATCACAGTAATTCTGCCACTTCTGTCAGCAGTTCCCAAGCACCTGCATCGAAAGCATCCAGAGCTCTGCGGAGACCATCAAAAAACCTGGTAATATATCTCCTTTGAAAGTCCTTTTGAAAGGAAACGCCGAGGTACTGTGCACAGTTTTTAATTTCCTTTTGAAAATGATTCTGATTTTGTTGGCTTCTTCTTGTGATCATTCGAGTGTAAATCCAAATTGAACATTAAATGCACAGCACAGTATCTGAACCTTTCACCAATTGATCTATAATATATGAACCTCTTCCTAACCCCACAGCCACCCATGCCATTCTATTCCTTTCTTCCCTGTGTTAATCCAGCTTCCCTGTAAACACACCGGCTCTGGTTAGTCCCTGCTCCCTGGGGCAGTGAGTTCCACGTTCTCCCCACTCTGGTTGAAGACTTTTCTCTCCATTCCCAATTGGATTTATTAGTGACTAGCTGACATTTATGACGGATGGAGAAAGCCACTGGCTTTAAGTTCAGCCATTTTCCTGGAAACATAGAAAACTGTAACAGGAGTAGGCCATTCCACCCTTTGAGCTTGTTCTACCATTCATTATGATCATGGCTGATCATCCAACTTTAAAACCCAGTTGTTGCCACTTTTTCCCCATGCCTTTTTCATCCTTTAGACAAAAGAAATGTAACTAACTCTTTCTTGAAAACATTCAATGTTTTGGCCTCACCCACTTTCTGTGGCAGAGAATTCCACAGGCTCCCCACTCTCTGGATGAAGACATTTCTTCTCCTCTCAGTCCTTAATGATCTACCCATATCCTTAGACTGTGACCCCTAGTTCTGTATTCTTCGGTCATCGGGAACATCCTTCGTGAATTTACTGTGTCCTGACCTGTTAGAATGTTATAGGTTTCTGTGACATGCCCCTCATTCTTCTAAATGCCAGTGAACTTGGTCTTCACCGATCCAGTCTCTCTTCATACGCCCATCCTGCCATCCCAGAAATCAGTCTGGTAAGTCTTCGCTGCACTTCCTCCATCTGCTCCCTCTGATAAGAAGACCAGAACTGCATACAATACTCCAGGTGTGGTCTCACCAAGGCTCTGTACAATGATAGTTAGACATCCCTGCCCCTGTACTCCAATTCTCTCACCATGAAGGCCCACCATCTTCACCACCTATTGCACTTGCTTGCTTACTTTCAGTTGGGGATGCAATGGCCTAGTGGTATTATCACTGGACTATTAATCCAGAGACCAGAGAGTGTCCTGGGGACCTGGGTTTGAATCCTGCCATGGCAGATAGTGGAATTTGAATTCAATAAAACAAAAATCTGGAATTAAGAATCTAATGATGACTGTGAATCCATTGTTGATTGTCGGAAAAACCCATCTGGTTCACAAGTGTCCTTTAGGGAAGGAAACTGCCATCCTTACCTGATCTGGCCTACATGTGACTCCAGACCCACAGCAATGTGGTTGACTCTTAACAGCCCTCTAGGCAATTAGGGATGGGCAATAAATGCTGCCTAGCCAGCGATGCCCTCATCTCGTGAATGAATAAAGACAAACTACTATACAAGGAAATCCAGGTCTCACTGCACCTCCCCATTTCCAATTATTCATGCCTTCCTGTTTTTTCTACCAAAGTGGATTGCCCCTCAGTTATCCACGTTATGCTGCATCTGCTGTGCATGTGCCCACTTACTCAGCCTGTCCAAATCAAACTGCACCATCTCTGCAAGCTTCTCACAGCTCACTCTCCCATCCAGCTTTGTGTCATCTGTAAACCTGGAGATATTACATTTAGTTCACTTGCCTAAATCGTTAATATATATTGTGAATCGCTGGGGTCAAAGTACTGACTGCCACTCAGAAAAAGACCCATTTGTTCCTAGTCTTTGTTTCCTGTCTGTCAACCATGTCAGTGCCTTACTCCCAATCCCACATGGTTCAATTTTACACACAAATCTCTTTTATGTGGGACTTTATCGAACGCCTTCTGCAAGCACAAGAAAACCACATCCACTGGCTCCCTCTTATCAACTTTACCAGTTACATCCTCAAAAAAAATTCCAGTAGATCTGTCAAGCACAAATTCCCTTTCGTAAATCAATGCTGACTCTGTCTGATCCTGTCACTGTTCTGCGACTAAATCTTTTGTCAAGGACTTTAGCGTTTTCCTCACTACTGATGTCAGACTGACTGGTCTATAATTCCCTATTCTCTCTCTACCTCCTTTTTTAAACAGTGGGATTGCATTAACTACATTGCAATCTGTAGGAACTGTTCTAGAGTCTACGGAATTTTGAAAGCTGACCATCAATGCATCCACAATTTTTGAGGGCCGCTTCCTTAAGTACACCTGGATGTAGATTATTGGTTCCTGGGGATTTATTGAACTTTTAATCCCATCAATTTTCCTAATACCATTCCTTACTAATACTGATCTCCTTCAGTTCCTCCCTTTCACTAGACTGTGTTCCACAACATTTTTAAGAGGTTATTTTTGTCTCCCTTTGTGAAAAGAGAACCAAGGTATGTAGTTAATTGGTGTGCCATCTCTCTGTTCCCCTTGATAACTTCCCTGATGTCAGGAACCTACATTTGACCTCACTAATCTTTTTCTGTTCACATATCTACATTTCTTATGGTCCCAGTAAGCTTACTCTCTTGCGGTCTTTTCCCCATCTTCCATCAATCCTTTTGTCCTTCTTTGCTGAATTATAAACTGCTTCCAGTCCTCAGGTTTGCTGCTTTTTTGGACAATTTGTATGCCTTTCCTTGGTTCTGATACTATCCCTAATTTTCCTTGTTAGCCGTGGTCAGGCCAGCTTTCTGGTTTTAATTTTGTGCCAGTAGGAAGAGAGAGAGAGAGCAAAAACTCCTTGCAGAGATCCAAAAGCTTCTCACTGTATCATTCACATCCAGAACCTGTCCAGCTACCTTGGAACCAATCAGAGAGTTGTCAGTGGGCTGATGACCTTTGCCATCCACAGTTCCACAAACCAAGGCGTCGTTGCCAAATTTCAAGCCTTTTAAAAACAATTCTGTTTTGCTATTTTTACTATGAAAGTGAATAATCTCTCACTTCTCCACTGTATCTGCCACTTTGCTGTTCGCTCAGCTAGTCTGTCTGTATACCTTTGCTGCTCCTTTATGATTGTCTCACAGTTTCTGTAGGGAGTCTCATGACACAATGGGTAGTGACCATGCCTTTGAGTCAGGCTTTGAGACCCACCCCAGGAACTAATGGCCAAGGGAGATGACTACCTTCCAAATTCTTCCAATGCTTGCCAATGGCAGCATTTAAGAACAGGGGAGATTCTTGGTCAGTCATGGGAAAAAGCTGGGGCCTGGGCTTCCAGATACAACTCACATACAGCACCAGATGTTGCTGCAGCAACTCGGACTCGCTAGGTGATTTCTTTTTTAAATTTGTTCATGAGATGTGGGTGTCGCTGGCTAGACCAGCGTTATTGCCTAACCCTAATTGAGTTAAGAGTCAAACACATCACTGTGGATCTGATATCACGTGTAGGCCAGGCCAGGTGAGGATGATGGATTTTACCCTAAAGAACATTAGTGAACCAGATGGGTTTTTCTAACAATCAGCAATGGCTAAAGTTTTCAAGAAGATTTGTAACTCGTGTTGTGGATGAGGATGTAGACTTGCTCGCCGAGCCGATGGGTTTGGTTGCAAACGTTTTGTCACCGTGCTAGGTAACATCGTCAGTGCGCCTCCGGTGAAACGTTGGTGTTCTGCCCCACTTATTAGTTAAACATCCCTATAAACACCTAAACAACATGCTCACCAGATAAAATTCATGGAAGAAGAGAAGAACGACAACCAACTATCTTCCTGGACATAATGGCAGAAAGCAAAAACAACAGGGAAGTCCCGACTAGCGTGTATAGAAATACCACACATACGGACAAAATACTCAATTACACACAAATGGAGCTGCATCAGGACATTATGCAAACAGGCCACAACATGTTGCAGCAACCAGAACTACACAAAGCAGAACAGGAGCCCCTCTATGGAGTCTTCAAAAGGAATGAATACCCAAAAAGCACAATCCGCTGTTACCTCCCAGACAGACCACACACAACCAGACTCACTAATCACCCTACCATACATCAAGGACATATCAGAGGTGACCACAAGACTACTCAGATCCCTAGGTGTCAGGGTACACCACAAACCAACAACCAACCTACGACAGCGACTGACAAATGTAAAGGATCCCATACCCAAAACCAGCAAAACTGGGGTAACATACAAAATACCATGCAAGGACTGTGAGAAACATTACACAGGCCAAACCGGAAGAAAACTGACAATACAGATACGTGGACACCAACTAGCCACCGAGAGACACGACCAATTCTCACTTGTCTCACTACACACTGACAACGAGGGACATGAATTCGACCGGGACAACACATTGATAATGGTACAAGCCAAACAGAGACACACCAGGGAATTTCTGGAGGCTTGGTATTCCAACCGGAACTCCATCAACAAACACATTGAATTAGACCCTGTGTACAAACCACTGAGAAACAAAACTGGAAGTAATGCCAACCACCCCAGGAAACCGAGGCATATAAATAACAAGCGGGACAGAACACTAACACTTCACCGGAGGCACACTGACTATGTTACCTAGCAGAGTGACAAAACATTTGCAACCAAACCCATCGGCTCGGCAAGCAAGTCTACAACCTCAATCAGCAATGGTTTCATGGTCATCATTAGACTCTTATTTCCAGATTATTAATGAATTCAAATTTCACTATCTGCCATGGTGGGATTCAAACCTGAGTCTCCAGAATATTACCTGGGTCTCTGGATTAACAGTCCAGTGGTAATACCACTAGGCCGTCGACTCCCTGAATGCACACATGCACATAGAATAGTCGGGGAGCAGGGAAAATTGTTGGATGGAAGATTATGGGAACGGTTAGAGTAGAGAGTTCAGCAGAGGTTATTAAAGTTTCCAGAACAAATAATCGGACAGAGAGTATGGAAAAGGTCAAGAATCTAACTTCAGGCACAGCAGGTAAGGGGACAATTATGAGAAGGGTCAGTCAATGCAGGACTAAGGGTGTTGTACTTAAATACACGCAGTGTACAAAGCAAGGGAAATGAGCTTGTAGCACAGATTGAAATTGACAGGTATAATGTGTGTATCACAGAGACATGGCTGCAAGGGGATCAGGGCTGGGATCTAAAAATCCAAGGATACCTGTCCTATTAAGAGGACAGGCAGATGGGGCAAGTGAGATGAAATCAATACCATGAAGCAGTGTAGGTTTGGAAAGTGTAGAGTCTGTGTGGGTAGAGTTGAGGAACTGCAAAGGGAAAAAGACCCTGATGGGAGTTGTGTACAGGCCCCCTAGCAGTAGTCAGGATGTGGGGAAGAAAATAAATCGGGAGATAGAAAAGGCTTGTAAGAAAGGCACTATTACAACAATCATGGGGGACTTCAACATGCAGGTGGACTGGGAAAATCAGGTTGGTAGCAGATCCCAAGAAAAGAAATCTTGGGATGTCTGCAAGATGTTTTTCTGGAGTGGGTTATGGTAGAGCCTGCTATTGAACAGGCAATTCTGGGTTTGGTGATTATAATAAGGCAGACATGATTACAAAACTAAAGGTGAAGGAAATTTTAAAGGGAGACAGTGACCATAATATGATAGAATTGACCCCCTGCAGTTTGAGAGGGAGAAGCTGGCCTGAGTTCATTGGAAGGGCAGCTGAGCAGGGAAGATGTTGGAGCAGCAATGGGAGGTGTTTCTGCGGGTAATTAGGGAGGCACACCAGAAATTCATCACAAGGAAGAAGAAACACACTAAGGGGAGGATGAGGCAACCATGGCTGACAAGGGAAGTTAGGGACAGTATAAAAGCAAAAGGAAAAGTATACACTGTGATGAAGATTATTGGGAAGCCAGAGGATTGGGGAGCCTTTAAACATGAGCAGAGAATAGCTTAAAAAATGCAATAAACTGGGGAAAAGATGAATTATGAAGGTCAGCCAGCTAGCAATATAATAGAGGATTGCACAAGTTTTTTTTTTAAGATATCTAAGGCCAGAGTGGACATTGGACCACTGGGCAATGAGGCTGAAGAAGTAGTAATGGAGGAGGAGCTGAATAGGAACTTTGCATCAGTTTTCACAGGGGAAGACACCAGCAGCAGACCAGAGCTTCAAGAGAGTCAGGGGGCAGAGGTGAGTGTAGTGGTCATCACTCAGGAGAAGTTGCTGGGGAAGCTGAAAGGTCTGAAGGTGGATAAATTACCTGGACCAGATGGACTACACCCCAGAGTTCTGAAGGAGATAGCTGAGGAGGTTGTAGAGGCATTGATGGTGATCTTGCAGAAATCACTGGAGTCAGGGAGGGTCCCAGAGAATGGAAAATGGCAAATGTCACAACCTTATTTAAGAAGACAGGAAACTATAGGCCAGTTAGCCTGATCTCAGTTGTTGGGAAGGTTTTAGAATCCGTTATCATGGATGGATTGCAGGGAACTTGGAAGTGCATTTTCCCACATTGGGTGGAGTCAGCAAGGCTCCATCAAGGGGTGGCCATGCCTGACAAATCTGTTAGACTTCTTTGAGGAGGTATCAAGCAAGTTAGAAAAAGGAGAGTCAGTGGACATGATCTATTTGAATTTCCAGAAGGCCTTTTACAAGATGCTGTGCAGGAGGCTGCTAATTAAGATAAGAGCCCATGGTGTTCGGGGCAAGATACTGGCATGGATAGAGGATTTGCTGACTGGCAGAAGACCGAGAGTGGGCATAAAGGGGTCTTTTTCAGGATGACGGCTGGTGGCTAGTGAAGTTCTGCAGGGGTCAGTGATGGGAGCACAACTTTTCATGTTATACATTAACAATCTGGACGGAGGAAGTGAGGGCATTGTTGCTAATTTTACAGATGAAAAATGGATAGACGTAGGGACTGGTAGTGTTGAGGAAGCGGGGAGGCTGCAGAAGGACTTGGACAGGCTAGGAGAGTGGGCAGAGAACTAGCAGATGGAATATAATGTGGGAAAACATGAGATGATACACTTTGATGGGAAGAATAGAAAAAGAGGCTATTTTCTAAATGAGAGAGGCTTCGGAAATCTGAAGCACAAAGGGATTTGGATGCCCTGCTTCAGGATTCTGTCACGGTTAACATGCAGGCTCAGTTGCAGTTAGGAGGAAGGCCAATGCAATGTTAGCATTCATTTCAAGAGGGCTAGAATACAAGAGCAGGGATATATGGCCTCAGCAATATAAGGCTGTGGTCAGACCGCATTTGGAATATTGTGAGCAGTTTTGGGCCTTCTATCTAAGGAAAGATGTGCTGGCGTTGGAGGGGATCTGGAGGAGGTTTACAAGAATTATCCTGGGGTTGAAAGGCTTGATATGTGAGAAATGGTTGAGGACTTTGGGTCTGTACTCAATGGAGTTTAGAAGGATGAGGGGGGAGGATCAGATTGAAAATTACAGAATACTGATAGGGTTGGACAGAGTGGACGTGGAAAAGATGTTTCCACTATTTGGAGAGACTAGGACTCGAGGGCACGTCTTCAGAGTGAAGGGATGACCCCTTAGAACTGAGATGAGCAGGAATTTTTTCAGCCAGAGGGGGATGAATCTGTAGAACTCATTGCCACAGAAGGGTGTGGAGGCCAAGTCATCAAGTGTATTTAAGACATCGATAGATAGATAGGGTCTTGATTAGAAAGAGGATCAAGGGCAATGGGGAGAAGGTAGGAGAATGCTGTTGATAAATGTATCAGCCCTGATTGGATAGGTTGAATGGCCTAATTCTGCTCCTATATCTTATGATCGTAAGGGCACTGCCACACAGGTGTAGGTCTCGCAGTCCTTCCTAGCTTTTTCACATCTACTAACTTGGCCCTTGCACTTTAGCTCTCTCTATCCATGTCATTAACAGAGATTACAGCCTGCTGAAGCCACATCCTGATCCTAATGGCAAGCTACTAATTGCAGCTCATCAACTTGAAAATGCCTGGGTGTCTGTCCCTCAGTTCTAGATGCCTGCTCTGCCATTTAATATGATTATGGCTGATCATCAGGCTGCCCTGCCTGCATATCCCCTTAGCTCCAAGAGCGATATCTACCTACATACGTTCAATAACTGGTGTGAGAGAGTGCCCGGGTGTTATTGCACATTCCCCTCTCTCAACTTACAACCAATCAAATAACAATTTTCCTTGCTGTTTTTGTTACCAAAATGGATAACCTCACATTTATCCACATTATACTTCAACTGCTATGCATGTGCCCACTTACTCAGCCTGTCCAAATCACACTGCAGCATCTCTGCATTCTCCTCACAGCTCACCCTCCCACCCTGCTTTGTGTCATCTGCAAATGTTGAGAAATTACATTGAGTTCTCTCATCTAAATCATCAATGTATATTGTGAATAGCTGGGGTCCCCATACCGATCCCTGCAGTACTGCACTGGTCACTGCCTGCCATTATAAAAAGGCTTTTTATAAAGGCCTTTAGCGTTTTCCTCACTACTGATGTCAGACTGAGAGGTGCCAGATTCCCTTTTGTAAATCCATGCTGTCTGTGTCTGATTCTGCCACTGTTTTCTCAGTGCTTTGCTGTAAAATCCTTCATAATAAACGCTAATATTTTCTCCATTACTGACGTCGGACTCGCTGGTCTATAATACCCTGTTTTCTCTCCCTCCCTATTTAAATAGTGGCCTTACATTGGAAAGTAGCTATTCTGTAGGGAACTGTTCCTGACTCTCTCGAGTCTTGGAAGATGACCACTAATGTGCCCACTGTTTCTTGGGTCACTCCCTTTAATTACTTTGGAATGTATGCTATCAGGCCCTGGTTATTTATTGGCCTTCAATCCCATCAGTTTCTCCAACCCTGTGTTTCATATTATTTCCGGTATGTTATGTGTCCTCCTTTGTGAAGACAGAAGCAAAGTTTAAATTTAGTTCATGAGCCATTTCTTTGCTCCCCAGTATAAATGACAACCTGAGTGCCTACCCAATAAAGCCCCTTCAGAATCTTTTCCTATTTCAATGAGGTCACCTCTCATTCTTCTATAAACTCTATTTAACTTATCATAGGACACACTGTCTTCCCAGAGACGAATCGAGTGAACCTTTGCTGTATCACCTTCAAGACACATGTATTCTTCCTTCGAGATTAGGCCACATGACTATATTGAATGGCATTTATGGGCTTAAAGGGCTAATTGACTTATTCCTCTTGTTCTGCTCCTGTTTCCTATACTGGAGAACTTTGGCAAAATGTTTTTTGGTTGGTTGACACTGAAGTCTCCTTCCTTGCTTTAGGAGATGACGGAAAATGGGAGCCATCAGCTGGTGGTGAAAGCCAAATTTAATTTCAAGCAGACCAATGAAGATGAACTTTCCTTTTCAAAAGGCGACATTCTTTATGTAACGCGAGTTGAAGATGGAGGATGGTGGGAAGGCTCACTGAAAGGAAAGTCAGGCTGGTTCCCTAGCAACTATGTGAGAGAGATAAAACCAAGTGGTGAGTTGCTAATTTTTATGTATAACTCACTCTTCATTCTGCCTGTATAGAAAATCATACCTTTTTGTTTAAAACTGCTTTTTGTTCAGTATGTCCACGGTCAGAGCTTTCAGTCCAGCTGTTGAAACTTCAGCTCAGTTTCCACTTTTTGCTCAGTGGCTAAGTTCGAGATATTTCCTTATGTTCATTTCACCAAATGGGATGGAGTTATAATTTAATTTGCAATTAACTGCTCTCACTCAAAGACATACCATGGATGTGTTCCCAGCCATCTCTGTCTTACTGTCTGAAATTGCATCTCACCCCTCTGCACACTGTGAAAATCCTCAGGAGTTTTCACCTCCCTCTTTATGTTTCATCAGCCTTGGGACCGTCTCTTTGACTTTTGTTTTGAATCCTTCTCAAGTCGCTGGTCGTGGCCCAGCATTGGTCCATTTTGCACCTTCTCTGTGAGATAGCTTATATGTGTTTGTTTGTTATAGAGAAGCTGCTGGAAATGGGCAGTGCAGTTCAAGCTTGGACCCATTGACGATGGGATATGGACTGGTTCAAGAATTGGTGCACATCTTGTGATTTTGTGTAGAATGAAACTGAGCAGAACACTTGATCTCATTTCATCACTTGTTGCAGAATGTCCTCTTGTCATTTTCAAAAGGTGCAAGAGTCTTATGATTAAGTGACTAGCTCCAGAGGCCTGGAATAATAATCCACAAAAAGGCGAGCTCAAATCCTGCCTGAGTCTGGGAATTTGAATTCAATTTGGGAGAAAAAACTTCCCGGACTGGAAAGCTGTCTCAGTAAACGTGACCATGAAGCTGTCAGACAGTTATTTTAAAAAAAGACTGGTTCACCCATGTCCTTTGGGGTTGGAAACGTGCCATCTTAGCAAGCCTGGTATGTGAGTCTTTCACTGTTCCTTACTTCACTGTTGCAAATTACGTCATCTTGGTAAAAGGATTTGCTCATAGAATCGCAGAGGTCGACAGCACTGAAAAAGGCCCTTTTGATCCACTGAGTCTGCACTGGTCAAAAACAACCACTTTTTTCCATTCAGTTGTGGGACGTGGGCATTGCTGGCTGGGCCAGCATTTATTGCCCGTCCCTAGTCGCTCTTGAGAAGGTGGTGGTGAGCTGCCTTCTCAAACCACTGAAGTCAAAGTGCTGTAGATTGACCCATTAAGGAGGGAATTCCAGGATTTTGACCCAGCGACAGTGAAGGAATGGCCATGTATTTCCAAGTCAGGATGGTGAGTGGCTTGGAAGGGAACTTGCAGGTGGTGGTATTCCCAAGTATCTGCTACGCTTATACTTCTAAATAGAAGTCGTCGTGGAATTGGAAGGTGCTGTCTAAGGATCTTTGGTGAATTTCTGCCGTGCATCTTATAGATAGAGCACACTGCTGCTACTGAGTGTCAGTGGTGGAGGAGGAAGTGGATGTTTGTGGGTGTGGTACCAATCAAATGGGCTGCTTTGTCTTAGATGGAGTCAGGCTTCTTGAGTGTTGCTTAGATAAGTGCAGCTCCAACAAGTGGGGAGTGTGCCTTGTAGATGGTGAACAGGTTTTGGAAAGTCTGGAGGTGAGTTATCTGCTGCAGTATTCCTAGCCTCTGACCTGCTCTTGTAGCCACTGCTATATATGGCGAGTTCAGTTGAATTGCTGCTCAATGGTAACCCCAAGAATATTGATAGTGGGGAATTCAATGATGGTAACGCCATTAACTGTCAAGGGGCGGTGGTTAGGTTGTCTGTCTGTTGTTGGAGATAGTCATAGCCTGGCATTTGTGTGGCACAGTTGTTATTTTGCCAGTTGTCAGCTCAAGCCTGGACATTGTCCAGATCTTGTTGCATTTGGACATGGACTGTTTCAGTGTCCGAGGAGATGTGAATCGTGCTGAACATTGTCCTTGTGGAGGGAGGGTCATTGAGAAACAGCTGAATATGGTTGGGCTGAAGACACTAAGCTGAGGAACTTCTGCAGAGATGTCCTGGAGCTGAGATGATTGACTTCCAACAACCACAACCATCTTCCTATGTGTCAGGTATGGCTCCAACCACTGGAGAGTTTGCTGTCTGGTATTCATTGATTATAGTTTTGCTCGGGCTCCTCGAAGCCAAGGGCTATCGCTCTCACCTCTACCTCTAGAATTCAGCCCAATTGTCCGTATTTGACCCAAGGCTGTAATGAGGTCAGGTGATGAATGTCCCTGGCAGAACCCAAACTGGGCATCACTGAGCAGGTGCTGCTTGATAACACTGTTGAGGACATCTAACCTATTCCCATTTTCCAACATTTGGCCCATAGCCTTGTGCACCTTCTGAAACGTGATGAGGGTTTCTGCCTTTTCCACTCTTGCAGGCAGTCAGTTCTAAATTCCTACCATCCTCTGAGTGAAAAGATCTTTCCTCACATCCCCTCCGAACCTCCTGCCCCTTACCTTAAATCTATGCTGTCTGGTCATTGATCCCTCCACCAAAGGGAAAAGGCTTTCTCCTGTCCATCCTATGTATACCCTTGTTAATTTCATATATCTCAATCATGTCCCCATTAGTCTCCTCTGCTCTAAGGTTAACACCCCCAGTCTGTCCAATCTCTCTTCATACCTGAAACTCCAGCCCCAAGGCAACATTCTGGTCAATCTCCTCTGCATCCTCTCCAGTGCTGTCCTATCCCTCTTACAATGTGGATTCCTGAACTGCAAACAGTACTCTAGCTTTAGCCTGGGAGGTGATGGCCTAGTGGCATTATCGCTGGACTGTTAATCCAGAGACCCAGATAATGTTCTGGGGCCTGGGTTCGAATCCCACCACAGCAGATGGTGGAATTTGAATTCAATAAAAATATCTGGAATTAAGAGTCTAACGATGACCATGAATCCATTGTCGATTGTCGAAAAAACCCATTTGGTTCACTAATGTCCTTAGGGAAGGAAACTGCCATCCTTACCTGGTCTGGCCTACATGTGACTCCAGACTCACAGCAATGTAGTTGACTCTTAACTAGCCTCTGGTCAATTAGGGATGGGCAATAAATGCTGCCTAGCCAGTGACGCCCTCTTCCCATGAATAAATGAAAAAAAAACCTTTTACAAAGTTCCAAAATAAATTTCCGTTCTCTTAACCTCCATGTGTCAGCTAATATAAAGATAAGTATCCCATAGCCACCTTAACCACTTCATCCACCTTTCACACTAACTTAACGGACTGGTGTAGATGCGTATCAAGGACCCTCTGATTTTTGGTGCTGTCCTTGCCTAATTTATCCTGCCCGTAGATTTACAGAACTGATCTATCTGTGTAGCCTTTGCAGACTTTCATCTGGTTTTTCCAGATCTGATGTGCCCATGTTGGCCTCCCTCCTTTTCCTTTTCCAGCAGCCAGAAACGTGCCTCTCTGTCCAAACCAGGGCCAGCTTTCTGGCACAGTTTACAAAATGTGATGCTTAAAGAGTGGCAGACAACTCTCTCTCACTTTAATAACCCACAGTTGGGAGGATTGGATTTACAAAAGCCACTGCAAAGTAGCCTGTTTTGGATTTGAAATTGCTTCTTCAACCAAAACTGAGTTGTTTAACTCTGCCACTTTGGATTGACAACTAGGAGATGAACCATATGCTTTTGCTGACTCCCCGTTGTGATTTGGAGCACGATTGTGCTGCCTACTGTGTCTGACTCTGCACAATATTGAGGCACAGAGTGTGACATAAGGAGAGGGGGCAGAGAGTGCAGGACTCAAACAGTATTCACTTCCTTAAAGGGAACTTGATAAAAGGCTCAAAACAGTTGTTGAAGTGCACTAAGTGATGATAACGGCGATGCATTTATTACTCTGTGTGTGTGACATCCCTTTGCCAAGTTGCTAGTGTCCATAAGGTATCACATTAAGAGCTACAAGTAGTTGCCTGTCAGTTGGATGTTAATGGTGATATAATAGAGTGTGCATAAAATACATTAGCCTTTCACTTGTGTCGCTTCAGAGAGTGAGGTTGGTCAAGGTAGGTGATTTATGAGACAATGTTCATCGAGGATATCTGTACATTGCCCTGCATGAAACACTTTGGCCTGTAGTAGTATCAATTGGCTCACAGCTCCTCTCTCAACCAGCCAGTCAGTCAGAGGTTCAGGCCCTACTCCTTGGCTATGTCCTGAATCCATGTCCTGAGAGGGTGAAAGGACAAGTATTTGTGTTCCATTCCAGTGCATTATTTCAGGGCCAATTAGAGAGAATAAAAATATTTTCAAATTGTTCAGATAGAAAGATGAGAGAAATCAGTGAGATTTATTGATCACCTGCCCTGACTCATATTGAAGCTTCCCATCTGCTGCTAGAAAACATTCAAAGGGAGAGACAGTGGCGCAGTAGGCGAATGTCCAGAGACCAAGATTAATGCTCTGGGGTCATGAGTTCAGTTGCTACCACAGCAGCTGGTAGAATTTAAAACCGTTTATTAAATCTGGATTGAAAGCAAGTCTCGGTGATGGTGACCATGAAATTCTCATCGATTGCTGTAAAGCCCCGTTTGGGACACTAATGTCCTTTAGGGAAGGAAATCTGCCATCCTTACCTGGTCTGGTCTACATGTGACTTCAGACCCAGAGCAATGTGGGTTCCTCTGAAATGACTGAGTGAGACACTGAGTTCAAGGGCAATTAGGGATGGGGAGCAAATGCACACATCCAATGAACGAATTTAAGAAAAAAAAAATGGGAAGTACAGATATTTGTGGCAATGAGAAAATCTTTTTTAGTCCGCATTATGTACTTAGTATTTTGTGCAGCAGCTGGATAGGGCCCACTACCTCTGCCCTTTCCAACTAAGGATGCACCTTCGCCCACACCAGAGGTGGCATGATCTTGCACATGGATTCCAATTCAATGCTGTGCGCTGTATTCTTCAGGACAACTCTGTGAAATGGACCCTCAGTCCTTTTTAATTCCAAGCTCTTAGTTCAGCTCATTGAGGTCTGTAAGGCCCTAATTCTATCATCTCCAAAATTCAACGAAATGACTTAATCAAGTGTGTTCTTGGTTTGCAGATAAGCCACTTTCCCCCAAATCTCTCAAAGGTTTCGAGACGCCTTCAGTTACAAAGAATTATTACAGTTTGGTAAGTGCTTTGCTTTAATTTTAATCCCTGTTTTCACCGGGGGAATTTTGTCTAATAAAGTATTGTTTGTGAATTAAATTCACCGGCAAAACGTTTGCAAAAGTAATAAGATTTTGTCTAAAATCAGAATAGTCGACGAAATCTATTTTGAGAGCCAAAATTTTTATACAAACTACTTCCATTTAAAATAACACAATACGTGTTAAATCTGATTTTTGCCCAAATTTCTTGTATTCTGCACCAAAGCTCTGGCTTTCCCTGGTTAGCAGCAGGGTCTTCACACAAATCACAGCAGGAACATGCTGAAAATCTGACGGCACATGTTTTATACAGAACTCCCCCCCTCACCCCCACCCAGTCTGACCTTCTGTTTAATTGCTATTGATGTGCAACATGGTCCACGGCTTTCCTTTAGAGTCGCTCCCTGACAAAGGCAGGTGGGATACTCTCCAGTCCACAGTATATTTTCCACTTTTTTTAAATGAAGGATTTGCATTTATGTAGCACCTCAGGACCTTCCAAAGTGCTTTACAGCCAGTGCAGTGCTTTTGAAGTGTGGTTGCTGTTGTAATACAGATTCACTTCCTAACTTTCCGAGGCGGCAAAGTGCGAATGACCACACAATCTGTTTCCAGTGATGTTAATTGAACAATAAATATTGGCAGGATACAGGAAATGAGCCTGCGATCTTCAAAATAATGGGTATGACATAATTTACAGCAACTCAATTTAGACTCACATGTCAACTTTAATTTCATGTTCAAGAAGCAGCACCTTTTGACAGCGTGGCGCTCCCTCGGCCGGCATGGCGCTCCCTCGGCACGGACCCCCGGCAGCCGCAGCTCCCCCTTGGCCCCGGACCCCTGGCCGGCGTGGCGCCCCCTCGGCATGGACCCCTGGCCGGCGTGGCGCCCCCTCAGCACGGACCCCCCGGGCGGCGCAGCCCTCCCTCGGTCCTGAGGAACAGTCCATTAAGTTGCCTATAAAATGATAATTTCTCTTTGCCCGGATTCATGTTTCTGATTAATATTATATGTTAGGTTTTTTTTGAGTCCCCTTGCAATGGTTGCTTGTTGCATATGTTGAAGTAAGCAGATCTCGTCCTGAGATGTTCTGAAGTCCCAGGGTGGTGTCTTTTGAAATAGGTGTTCAACCGGAGCCTCAGCTGCTTGCTAGGCTAACGTGCAAAATGGCACTGCTTTGAAGGAGAACGTCACTGGAATTATTTATCCCAAAATCAACATTACCAAAAAATCACATTCACTGGTCCTTGTCATATTGCTGTTGATGAGACCTTGCTATCTGTAAAAGAGTTGCTGCCTTTTCTACCTTGCAGCAGTGACCTGACTTCAAGATGTACTTCAGTGGCTGGGGAGTACATTGGGACTGTCTGAGCTGTCTTTCTAGACATGACTGTAGTTGAGCTGCCCAGTTAATGCTCCTGGAATTTCTGTGGGATTATCCTCTCCAGGTATTCTGCTGCCAGGGATATTCTGCACAGGTATAAATGGGATAAAGATATATTTCAATTTATATATCAGGTTTGGAGTTAGAAAATATAGCAAATTAGTGGGATACCAAGTTGTGATCTGTAGTTTACAGTTCACCTGAGCCCTCGTCAATAACATGAGGCAGGGGTTGTGTATAAAATAGGCAACATTTCTCGGTACTGTGTTCCCTCCACACTGAATGGAGACAGTCCAATCACTTTGTTCCCTTGGTAACAGATTGTCGTCCTGAAATTTCCTCCTGGGCTGGGGAGTTTCATTTGGAATGTGCATGTAGCATTTGCCTGAGCAGCCTTCAGCTGATGCACCCTGCAGTTATCTGCATTACTTTTGAAGGAGAGCTGATGAATTTTAAATCTTTTACCCATCAAAAAAAAATACAATGAAATAACATTCTGCCTCCCCAGTACTCTCCAGAAATGCTTCTGCACCCAACCCCTCCCCACACAGTTGCCGATCTCACAGCCACAAAAACAATCTACACTTCAGTCTGGCATCTTACATCAAAGGGCTTTGGAGTATGTCTGGGTTACTGTTGGGGATTGTGTTGGTTCTTCAGAATGAGAGGTGTTACAGGGATGGTGGGAATTGGGATTAGAAGGTCAGAATCTGACAGTACAGAAAGAGGCTAGACAGCCCTCTTTGGAAAAGCTATCTAATTTGTCCCACTTACCTCCACTTTCCCCATAAGACTCCACATTTTCTTTCTTGTTACATATTTATTCGTTCCCTTCTGAAAGTTATTCTTGAATGTGCTTCCACTGGCCTTTCAGACAGGACATTCCAGATCACAGCAACAGGCTGCATGAGAAGGTTTCTCCTTACCTCTGACAAACCAGGAGCAAGAGGAGGCCATTCAGCCTCTTGAGCCTGCTCTGCCATTTAATTAATTGTGTGATTAGATGGTGGGCCTGTCTCATGAGGTAGGATTAGGAAGGAATGAAAGATAATCTAATTGAAACTCAAAAAAAATCCTTCAAGCAATAGATGAGACTGGATGCCAACAAGATGTTTTCTGTGCCTGTGTAGTCTTGAACCAGGGACCACAGTATGAGAATAAGGAGCAGGTCATTTCTCACACAGGTGAAGAGGAACCTGTTCACTCAGAAGGTGGTGAATCCTGAGAATTTTCAACCCGGAGGTCTGTGGTGGCTCAGACTTTGAGAATATGCAAGACAGAGATATCAAAGTATCTCTAGATACTAATGACATCAAGAAATATGGGGATAGCATGGGAAAATGTCATTGATGTAAATGATCAGTACTCTGTACAATGACAGAGCTGTTTCAAACAGCTGATTGGCCTACTTCCCCAGTGATCAGTATTGGGAGCCTTGCTTTTGCTGACATATGTTAATCATCCTGGTGTTCAGGGGACAGGTTCCAAGTTTACAGATGACACTCAGCTTGGAAGAATTGTGAACTGTGAGAAGGACAGTGTGAAACTCCAAAAGGACATTGACAAGTTAGTGGTGTGGTTGGGAAGGTGGTAGATGAGGTTCAATGCAGAGAAGTGTGAGATGATGCACTTTGGTTGAAAGAACTTTGAAAGTCAATATAAAGTATACAATCCTAAAGTGCAGGAGCACAACACCTGGATGTAAATGTGCACAGATAATTAAAGGTTTCCAGACAAGCGGAGAGAGCAATTAATAAAGCATACAGTGTCCTCGGCTTTTTAATAGGGGCGTAGTGAACAACAGAAAGGAGCCGGTGGTGAACTTGTACAGGACACCTGTTCAACCTCTAAGTTTCAATCAGATCCCTAATTCCTCCTGCCCCCAGACCCAGCGTCCTCAACCACTCCTCGTTTGAGAAGCCCTTTATGACTCAGCAGCTGTATTCTAGCCTGCTTGAAATGAATGCCAACATTGCATTTGCTTTCCTAACTGTCAACTAAACATACATGTTAGCCTTAACAGAATCTTGAACTAGGGCTCCTAAGACCCTTTGTGCTTCAGATTTCTGAAGCCTTTCCCATTTAGAAAATAGTCCATGCCTCTATTCTTCCTACCAAAGTGCATATCCTTACACTTCCCACATTGAAATCCATTGCCACTCCTTTGCCTACTCTTTTTGCCAGTTCAGGTCCTCGTGCAGCCTCCCCGCTTCCTCAACATGACCTGTCCCCCCTCCTATGTTTGTGTCATCTGCAAACCACAGTATAACGTGAATAGTTGTGGTCCCATCACTGACCCCTGCAGAACTCCCCTGATCACTGGTTGCCTCCTGGAAAAGACTCCTTTATCCCCACTCTCTGCTTTCTGCCAGTCAGCCAATCCTCTGTCCATGCCTTACCTTGCCTGTAACACCATGGGTTCTTATTTAGCAACTTTCTGTGTGGCATCTTGTCAAATGCTTTCTAGAAATCCAAATAGATCATGTCCACTGGCTCTCATTTGTCTAACCTGCTTGTTACCTCCTCAAAGAATTGGAACAGATTTATCAGGCATGACCTCCTCTTGATGAGTCAGTCCTATTTTATCATGCACTTCCAAGTCTGCAATATCATCTTTAATAATGGTCATTGGTAAGGTTTTAGAATCCAAGGTCAGACTAACTGGCCTATAATTTCCTGTCTCCTGTCTTCTGTCTTCCTCCCTCCTAATCAGGGATGTTACATTTGCCATTTTCCAGTCCTCTGGCATTCAGATATGTAGGGAAAGAGTAGGGCCATTAAAGACCACAGTGATAATTTGTCTATTGAGCTAGAGGACGTAGCTAGGGTTCTAAATGAATATTTAGCATCTGTGTTCACTAACGATAGGGACGATACAAGTTTAGAAATCAGGGAAATGGTCTGTGATACAATTAAATAAATTAGCATAGACAAACCGGAGGTTCTGAGTGGTCTGACAGGCTTAAAAGTAGATAAATCTCCAGACTGGATGAAATATATCCCAGGCTGTTAAGTGAGGCAGGGAGGATATAGCAGGGGCACTGGCTACAGGAAAGGTACCAGAAGGCAGGCAATATGGTACTGTTGATCAAGAAGGGAGCAAGAGATAAACCAGGAAACTACAGGCCAGTCAGTCTAACCTCTATGGTGGGGAAATGGTTGGAAACAATTCTGAGTGACAGAATTACTCTGCATTTGGAGAGGCAGGGATTAATCATGAACTGTTAGAATGGTTTTGTTAAAGGGAGGTCATGTCTGACCAACTTGATTTGAATTTTTTGAAGAGGTTACCAGCTGTGTAGGTGAGGGCAGTGTGTTTGATGTCGTCTACTTCAGCACAGCTTTTGATAAGGTTCCCTCGTGGGAGACTGATAGCAAAGGTAAGAGCCTGTGGGATCAAAGGAAATTTGACAACTTGGATCCAGAATTGGCTGAGGGGCAGGGAGCAGCGAGTGATGGTTGATGGTGTTTTTCTGACTTGAAGTCTGTGTCCAGTGGGTTCCTACAGGGCTCAGTGTTGGGGCCCTTGCTGTTTGTGGTTAATATAACTGATTTAAACTTGAATGTAGGAAGGTTATCAGTAAGTTCACAGA